ATCACGGCTCGGGGGGGGGGGGGGGGGGGGTGGTCAGGGCTGAGACGGAGGACAGAGGGGGAGGACAGAGGGGAGGACAGAGGGGATGTTTGTCGTCACACGCAACCTGCTCAGACATATGGACGTGAGCTTTAGGGAAAATCAGCCGTGGGCCACGTTGGACCATAAGGTGTGTGTGTGTGTGTGTCAGTGTATACTTGGGGGGGGGGGGGGGGGGTGGTGTGGGGTGAGGAGGGGGGGGGGGGCATATCTGTGGCTCCTGTCTGTTTGTCTCTTATTAAACCTGGGTCTCGTACGGCTCCTGTGTTCTGGAGACAGTACCAGTACCAGTACCAGTACCAGTACTAGTACCAGTACCAGAACCAGTACCAGTACCAGAGCTGGTCCAGATGGGACGTCTGAGTGGACCGACCCACTGATCGATTGAGGGTGTCACTTCCCCTCTTGTCTGTGTGTGTGTCTGTGTGTGTGTGTGTCGTCACACGAGCCTCTTCTTCACCCTTGAGATCCAGAGAGAGAGTTCTGTTTGGACCTGACAGTCGTTGTCATGACAACTGCCCAGAATTTGACCCACACCTCCATCAAATATCAGCGTTCCGCACCTGTTGTGATTCAGCGGCGCCAGCCCGTTGCCGTGGAAATGGTCACACACACATACACATGTGAAGGGGTGTTCTGAGGACAAAGAACGGCTGTGGAATCTTTCTGATCCCAGCATGCAATCTGATAAGCAGAGCAGAAAGGTCACACGGTAACAGACGGTAACAGACGGTCACACAGTAACAGACGCCGTGACCTGGCAGGTTCTGGTCCAGGAACGTACGTTGACCCTCGTCGTTTTAACAACGTGCCCAACATTAACGAACGCCCAGAAACAAAAGTGAATCACGAGGCACAGGTTCTACTCTAGATGGCAGTAGTGTTCACATTAAAGTTGGAGGTGAGACACCTGTAGTTCAGAACGTGAACTGTCACATCTGATCTGGGGGGAATGACGGTCTGAATGTGGCCCACGTCAGCTGGTCAGCTGGTCTCAGGTCAGCTGGTTAACTGGTCAACTGGTCAGCTGGTCAGCAGGTCAGGTGGTCCACTGAACCAGTTGCTGCAGGAATGTTCAGCCAAGGCTCTTGGCGGCGGGGGCGTCCGTACGGGCGTCTTTCAGACGGCACCCCTG